TTGCCAGAAGGCTTGCAGGGTCACACTCTGTCAATGTCCGCCTGAGGCAGCAACATCACGCCACAGGATCAGTCCAAGAACGCCCACGTGCAGGTCGACCTAAGAAGACCATTCAGAGTGTTTGCAAATGGTCCTTAACTTTTTGTTGAAGTCCGTAGATCAAGAAACTTAGAACTAAAGTGTAAAGTCCTTGCAGTAGATACATATTCAATGTTATTCTGACGCATGCTCTAAGGTCATATTATGAATACTTATACAAGATGGTTAAAATGGAAGAATTTTGATGAATGATGGTAATAGAGTGGGTGCCGCATTCAACGAGGTTGCCGGGACCGGCTTGCTATCCTCGTTGGAACCGACCTCTCGTTGAACGTGACTGATGCTAAAGTAAAGAAATGAGACCAGTTATTATAATGTGTTATACGATGTACCACTGCCAGTAATTAAAACAGTTGTTCCCCCTGATGACGAAAATATCAAACAGCATCAGTGTGCGCGTGTTTGAGCTGTGTTCTGACCGTCATTTCTGCATTAAAAATGGGTTTTTTCCGGAACACTACTCGTGTGGAAACATACCCTCTCACATCTAGTTAGGCCTAGATCAAAATAAAGTGAAGAGGGGAGCCTGGATTTTCCGATCACGGCAAGAAAAGAAAATGGAAGAAAAAAAAATGAAGGTCTCGATCATATTACGAGGCACACTAGATCTAGAAATTCAATGTGTTAGGAATCAAAGACGGGCCTTGTGCTTCGCGAGACGGAGAGAAAGGAGAAATATTCTTCGCTTTTGGGGCAACTAATTGCTTTTTTTTGTTTTGTTATCGTGACCTCGTTGAAAGCGACTTCGGTCTGTTTGCAACCTCGTTGGAGCCGAAGTACATTTACAAAGAGATATAGAGGGGGGAAAATCGGGGAACAAGGATTGCCTCGTCAGAGCCGACTTCTCGTTGAATGTGACCTCGTTGAATGCGGCACACACTGTAATTACCTTCCGTATCTTTCTTTGTTACAGATCAGAAGCCTAGGTCATTTACTTTTGAATGATGTTTTTATTTGAGGGAACTAGGGATGTTTGTTGTCTAAAAAGCTGGAATTAATTTTTTTTTTTTTTAGTGCAGGCTGTTATGAACAATTCAGCGAAGTAGGGGAATGTAGATGTTAAAATTTTAGATGCTTTTCTACATGTATTACATGTAGTCGATTTAATTTTTCTTTATCTTGTTGTCTTGTGGCCC